GCTGAGGCTCTATGATACCCCGCCAAGAAGACTTTATTGGATCTTTATTTGTTGTCTGCTGGTCTACATTAGATGACACTGCAAAATCATCCAATTCTAAAATGCTATAATAGATCTATAATATAGCTCTACCCAAAACAATGGTTACAATATGGCCCGATTCACAAGAAAGACTAACACTGAGGATTCAGAACCAAGGACAGCGCACTGACAGACAGCACTGCCCTTGTTTTCTTTCTGTAAGAGTATTACTCAGCTATCAGAAAGGATGAATACCCAACTTTTACATCAACATGGATGAGACTGAAGGAGATTATGCTAAGTGAAATAAGTCAAGCAGAGAAAGTCAATTATCATATGGTTTCATTTATTTGTGGAACATAAGGAATAGCATGGAGGACATTAGGAGAAGGAAGGGAAAAATGAAGGGGGGGGGGAAATCAGAGGGAGAGATGAACCATGAGAGACTATGGACTCTGAGAAACAATCTGAGGATTTTAGAGGGGAGGTGGGGGGGATGGGTTATCCTGGTGATGGGTATTAAGGAGGGCACGTACTGCATGGAGCACTGGTTGTTATACACAAACAATGAAACATGGAACACTACATCAAAAACTAATGATGTACTGTATGGTGACTAACATAACATAATAAAAAAAAAAGAGAAAGCATTAAGGGGTAAATGTGATATTACTAATCTGATCAAAATTTCCAATAAAAGTGCCTGTCAACAACTCATACTTCACAAAAATGTCTGCAAGGATTCTGAGCATCATGTCTCATAATGCATATCATACTTGAGTTCTCCATAGTGTTTATAGATCTGGATTACAATATTCCACATTTATATAGATTACTGGAAAGTTTACAAAATGTCCTTATCCTCATCCTATTAATAGTCAACATAGATCTTAAATCAACAGTTAATGAGTGACCTCCACATTCATAAATCTAATGACACATTAGATTAGACACAAATAGACACAAATCTATTTGACACATTATTTCACTTAGTTATTTTTACATCTCCCCTACTAGAATGTAAACAGTATGAGGGCAGGGATTTTTAACTGTTTGGCTTACTGTTTTACTCTGGGCACTCAGAAGTGCCTTTTTTTTGACATATAGTATGTGCTTCCTAGATGTTTGCTTAATATATTTAACTCTTTTTTAATAGCTTACTTAAAGTCAGAGTTACTAGGGTTTTTTTGTGTAGGTTAGTCTGATCGTAAAGGCTGGATATTTAGCCACTCTGCTAAACTGAAAAACAAAACAAAACAAAACAACTATCCTTAATATCCACAGAATAAATGTATCTGGACCCTAAAATTTTCTTACCCTGTCCTGACTGAAACCTGCAGATTAGGTTGGGAGGAATACAATTGATAGTAAATTATTCAATCGGGCCCACAAATATCCTGCAACAAATGGCCATTTTTACTTTCCTTTAATTTGTCTTAATTTAGTATGACTTTGCCCCATCCTTTGGTTTTAATCTTCTAGTGATACAGAAATATCTTGACCCAAGATATTTTTTCCTCTTTTTGAAGGGAACAAAGCACCACTTGAAAAAACCTAGTGCTTTTGTCTTCTGGCTTGTTTTATAGTTGCTGATTTTCATGTTAACTTATAGTTTCCTTTGCTTTTCCACCTTTTCTTTGTAGACTGTTGTTTTCTGGCTTTTTTAGGATAGACTGGAAAGCTGCCTTTATGTTTAAAAAACTGTACTTTTCAAAAATTCTCAGTATCAAAAATAAAGTAGAAGTTATTTATTCCATCCTGGCTAAAGTGGGGAAATCAGATTTTTATTTACACTCATCAATCCTCCAACTCCTTTTCAGTTTTTGTTGACATAATAGCAAATTATAGACCCAGATTACAATGGTTAATTTTTTACATTATACATTTTCTCCTTAAGTAATTATTTTTATGTTAACATTCTCTTTTATAACATATTTATAGCAATTATTTAGCATTAACTCTGTGTTTAATTAGCTTCCATGCTCACTGTAGGTCATTTCATTCCATATATCTCTGTTCTTGATTTCTTTATTTTGACTCATTGCTTGTTCAATTACTCTTTGAATGATTTATTAGAAGCAGGGCATGTGGGAGCCCCTGGATACTGAGAATGTCTTTCTGATGTATTTGCACAAGAACAACAATTTGGCTGATAAAGAATTTGTGGGTTATAACATTTTCTCCTCAAAAATCCTCCAGGCTTACTGCATTGTCTGCTGCCCTTTACGAGATGGAGAAATCTGAGAAGGGCCAAGCAGAGATTTGTTAGAATGGCTTTTCTGCTCTTATGACCCTTTAGCTTAACTCTTTTTAGTAAAACTTAATACTAAATACAGTAATTTGAAATAGTGTGTAGTTTTTCCCTTGCCAGAAGAAAAACAACACGCTGAGTGCCCAGCTCTCACGGCTTTTCCTCTCTGTTCCTGTGAAGCCAATGACACACTCAAGACCCCCGGCATAAGCATGAACCCAATTCTCTTAATTCCCTTCCTGAAAATCTTAGTTCCAAAACAGGAGCACACATGGCGTGGGCTCAAAGGCATAAGTAATTAAATGATCCTTGTTCATCTCGAAGCAATAGTAGAAACTGCTTCCTAGATGAGGTAGCTTCAGGTTAGGGTGACTTTTTTTCCCAAAGGCAAAACCCCATGTCTTGAGGAGACAGTCCACTGTGTGAAGTTTGGGAAGCAAAACTTCCCACAATCCTCCTGTGTCACCTGCTGTTCTGCTCAAGGGTCAACCATGCTTGGGTTGGGCAAATTCCATTTGGGGTCCATCTATCAATTTCTTGGGTTCTACAGACTTGGTCTCTTGCTAGGATTTTATTAGAGTCTTGGTAAGAATGTGACAGCAAGTGAATTGAGTGTAGCTGCTACTCTTCTTCACAGCATGGAAACCCAAAAGCACCTCTTGACATGTTGCCAAGAACAGGGAAAGTCACACCTTCTCAGAGTTGTGCTCCGCCAATAAACTGGCCAGTCTGGAATGCAGAGAACCAGGAACAAGATGGGCCCCCAGATGCTTTCTGCTCATCTTTATGTGTTCCTCTTTAATACATCAGAGTGCTTCATGCCGAGGGAAGACCAGATGGACAGATGGAAGGCAGTCTGGCAGCTTCTCTTTGTAGTTTTAAACTCTCTGTGAGGAATGTTGCTCGAGTAAGTAGTAAGTGCAGAACTGAAATACCAATGTGGAATTTAAATGGCTATGTGGACATTTAAAATGTTAATTAGTTCCTCAATCCAGGTTTCTCATAAGGTAATGACTGCCACTGATGGACTAAACTCTCTATCTTGGCCACCAGAGCCTATAAAAGCTATTCTTCACACACTTCACCAGATCTTGCTTTTGTCTCAGTGTCCCCTTCTCCAGTGAGCTTCTCACTTCTCCAGAAATACTGTGAAATATGGCACATACCAGATTCCCTTATGTTACAAAAGCTCTTGGAGGGTACCTACTTTATAACCTTAATATGAACTATAGGGCCTAGCATATGTCAGTGTTTGTTACATATTTGTTGAATGAAATATAGCAACCTGAGATATGTCCACAAAAGCATCCTAGATAGAAAATACTTGTGTCATAAGAGGAACTAAAGACAGTGAACTTTCAGAAAATAAGACTAGATGGATGTGTTTGAACAGAGGGGAGGTGGATGGTAGGAAAGATCTTATGGAACTGAAAGAATGCTGCCTGAAAAGGTGATTGCATTAGCTATCTTGGGACCTAAGAGTCTAGACCAAGGGCAACAGGTAGAAGCTATAAGAGACAAATTTCAAGCAGTACAATAAAAGGACTTCTTAGAGTCATAGCGACCCCAAAGATCAGTAAAGTTACCAGGTAAAGAAGTGAGTTCTCTGTCATTGGAGATATTCAAGAATACGCACTATTACCAGTTAAGTGTGATGTTGTAAGGTTGATTGTTTTATGTGTAGGGGGAGGAAGTAGGTATTCGGTGATGTTTCAGATCTTTTCTAGCCCTGTGCTTTTGTGATGTTATGACTGGCATCCCATCTTGACCAAAGAAATATTTGACATTAAAAAAGGTTACCTTGTCTTTGGGAGAAGAAAACATTTTCTAATGTGACTATTGGTAATAATAAAAGAGTTAGCATTCACTGATTACAACATGCTTAGTACATTCATAGATAATAAATTGATAGGTATTATTTTGTAGGTGAGGAAATTAATCTTCAGATAGGCATGTGATTTGCCCAAAGGTAATTTGAAAGACCCTTTTTATCTTTTATTATTTTTATTTATTTATTTTTAGAGAGAGAGTATGCATGCATGTGTGGGCATGCAGGGGTGGGTGGGTAGGAGGGGCAGAGGTAGACGCAGAAAGAGAATTCCATGAAGGATCCACGCCCAGTACGGGGCTTGATCCCACAACCCTGAGATCAGGACCTGAGCTGAAATCAAGAGTTGGTGGCTCAACTGAGCCACCCAGGCACCACAGACGTTTTATCTTTGAATACTGAAGTCTGCAAATCTTTTCTGTAAAGGGCCATATAGTAAATATTTTAGGCTTTATGTGGCATAAAGTCTTTGTCTAAACTACTCAACTTGGGACATCTGGGTGGCACAGTCTGTTAACCATCTGCCTTTGGCTTGGTCATGATCCCAGGGTCCTGGGACCGAGTCTCGCATCAGGCTCCTTGTCCAGCAGGGAGCCTGCTTCTCCCTCTGCCTGCCACTCCCCTGCCTGTGCTCTCTCTCTCTCTCTCTCTGACAAATAAATAAAATCTTTAAAAAAAATAAACTACTCAACTATACTGTTGTAGCATCAAAGCAGCCTTAGACTATATAAATGAATAGGCATTGCTGTATTAAAAAAATGTTTATATAAAAGGCATGGGGCTGGATTTGGTCCCCAGGCCTTAGTTTGTCAAGCTCTGCTCGAAAGCCATGCTACTTCTCATTTGAGAATGGGAAAATACAAACAAGGCAAGAAATGGCCTCCATGTGGCCGTACTTACTCCATTTGCTTTGCTGAGTGCCTGGAAGTAGATGCTGTAGCTTTTCAGAGGGGAAAGAGGAGGGTTCCAGTATCCATTGTATGTCTTATTGTCACCCACTGTAAATGGCTGGGTGACAGGCAGGTTGGCGGGCTTCAATTCAGCAGCAAAGTAGTGTAGAGAATCAAGGCTGGAGGCATTCCTATAGCTCACAGGCACTGAAAAGCACTCAATGATGTCAGCTGCCCTTCGTGACTTCTGAAGTCGCTCCTCCTTGACAACCAGCTGATAAACACTGGACAAGAAAGAGAGGCAGATGAGCAACTATCTAGAAGGATGAACTTGTTATTTATCACCATTTCTGTCTACAACTAAACCTCCCTCCTGAGCTTTAGAATTAATAAATCTACTGCTTTGTAGAAATCTATCTCTATTTAGATGTCCCAAGGCCAGCTCACATTGAGATAGATCCAAACTGCAACACGGTCCCAAGCCCTAAACACCTGCCTCCTTCTTCTATGTTTGTTTGTTTGTTTGTTTTCTTAACAAAGGGTAGCGTTGCCCATCAAGTGATGAGATCTGGAGTCGGGGCTCATCCTCAATTCCTACCTCCTTAGATCTCATTCTGCACTTATAATCAAAAAGCCCTGTTGACATCAGCAATCTGTACCTGCCCTTCTCCTTTCTTTCCCTTCACTGATAATGCTGAGGTTGGGCACTTCCCTACCTCTTACCTGGATTCAACTGGTCTCTTTGTCTCTAACTTATTTATCAACCAGTCAACATTGTTCTTCCTGAACATATAACACTGTCCCTCTTCAAGCACTCTCATAAGCTCTCCATTATCTGAATGATATAATCTAAAGCCCTCATCCTGGCATTGGGGACACTTGTGCCTGGCTTCCAGCCTGTCTTTTAGAAACTCTTGGGATGAACTCCTCATTCCAGCTGCTCCAGGCCCCGTGCTACTGCACAAACATCATGTGGATCCCACTCCATGCCATCATCAGTTCATGCTTCCTCCACCTGCAATGCCCTCCACTTCTGCCAGTGGAAGCCTTTCCCTAAAGACTGAGTCTATCTTTCATCTCCTCAATGAAGCCCATCTAGACCTTTCCAATCTGAATGAGTCTTCCTCCTTAGTTCCCCTACAATTCATTAATGGATATCTCCTTGGGATTGCAATAATATGTACACAAAACTATGTTTCTCTGGCTAGACTGTGACCTTTTGGACAGTGGGAGTTGTGGCTTAGTTATCTCTGTATCACTCCCTCCACCATATACTGCTGAATAGGTTGCCTGATAACCATACAGTGATCAGTGAATTCTTGTTCAAGTGAACCAAATTAAATTGAGCTAAAACTGAAAGTAGGCATGAAACCAAATATGACTGGATGCAGAATCCCTAGTCAAGATAAACACTCCAAACTCCTGTACAAGATCACTTGTACCATTCCTTTCAACTTAGAAGGAAGTAAGAAGGTGCTAGTGTGTGAAGAGAGATGACCAAGCCTTTAATGAACACCAGCTATATGCCAAATGTGTAGGCTCTTTTTATAAAAGTTATCCTAAAGTTTGTGCATTTGGATAGCATTTTATGACCTCTTTGAATGTCCACAATTTGTACTTCTCTTGAGAAATGCTGTCCTTTTTTTAAAAAAGATTTTATTTATTTGAGAGAGAGAGAGAGAGAGAGTGAGTGAGTGAGAGAGAGAGGGAGAGAGGAGCAGACTCCCTGCTGGGCCGAGAGCCTGATACAGGGCTCGATCGATCCCAGGACCCTAAGATCATGACCGGAGCCGAAGGCAGATGCTTAACCGACTGAGCCACCCAGGTGCCCTGAATGAATGCTCTTCTTTTAGAAGGTCCTTACTCCATAGATCTCCATAGGTCCTTACTCCAGATCTCCAAACTCTCAATTGCCCAAAGAGTACCCCCAGGAAACTTTTGTGAATTAATGAGGTGATTGCAGCAGTGGCCCCAAACCAATTGTTTAAAGATGGCATAGTGAGCTAGCATAGCACATGGTTTATGAAAATGGAATGTGGTGCAGCCTACCATCTTTTGATCAGGCAGTCCATCTAAAGACATTTGGTTAAGAAGCACAACTTAGGCAAAGACAGAGGCACAGGACTATTTCAATTAAAAAAAAAAAAAGGTACAGAGGGACTGACCCAAGGAAACATGCCACACTCAACATGGCAAATCTTCCCCCTGAATCTCCTTGAGCATGGGGATCATCGGCAATGCAAATGGGAAAGAAATAGGCATATGAATGTCCGCCACACTTAGAATGTGGTATCTGAGTTGAGGTGAGCAATGGCTCAGCAAGCATGTGTACTGTTAGGCACATCTGAATGAGAACTGAGTGGCCCAGAGGGCATGTGAGTGGCATGTGAGTGAAAGTGGCCCACGTTTCTGGGAATGCAGACTACATTTGAGTGTGAGCAATGTCCAAATGAGCATCTTTAGGACTTGGGTGTCTAAAAACTGAGCAAACATATATACTCTTGGAATGAATGGGTGTGACATCCAGATGAATGTCACTTAAGTGTGTACACACCTAAATGTGTATGACATCTGAGCGTGTATATGTGTGTGTGACATCATCTATATATGTTCATAAAACTGAAGTCAATAAACACCTAAATTAAATGAGGACTTCAGTGTTCATTCCCTCCTCGTCAACCCTGGGGTCCTTCTGAATGGTATAATCACTTTGTTTACCAGGACAGCTAAGCTCAAAACAGTCTCTGAAAGACATCACAAAGACCCAAGATCCAAACCTAGAGGTCATGAGGTGAGAGTGGAGGGGTGTCTATAACAGTTTTCAAGACCCCCACTGCTTTACATGTAACAGCAGTCTCAAAAATCAGGCTAGAGTGTTAAGGACTACTTATTGAGGGTTTATGATTCATGCAACTCTAATCTATGAGGGAAAGAGCAAAAGGCAATGAACAGAGAAGGAGCAACAGTCTCTTGGGTCCACCTGTGGAGGCTTATAGTAGCACCTATAAGACAGAACTGGGCTTGGAAGCACTCAGCCTATCCAAGCCTCATGCCCTCCTGACCAGGTTGGGAAGCATGAACAGCCTCATCCCTAGGAACAGGGGTTGCAAAGAGCTGTGAGTCCCTGCTTTCCCCTGAGGCCCAGTCTATCCCTAACTACTTTCGGGTTAACCCTGTCCACATAAGAAGACCTCTGTTTTCATTTCTAAGCCCGAAACTCTCATGCCATTCCTGACTCCTGTCACCTTTCCCCTCTAAATTGAGAACCCAAAGCCTTGGGAGCTTCACTGTGGCTGGATCTCATTCCTGGAATCACTTTCTGTTGTCCTTGGCCCTACTATGATGGGATGGATCAAGAAGAGGCACAAGGCTGGCCTGAGCACTGCCCATGACCTGCATGAGATTCCACAGTTGTGGACAGCTAAACAGTGGGTCTTTGCTGGGCTCTGACACGCGAATGTTGCCAAAGGCTACAGAGGGAGGCAAAACATGTCTCCAGGCATTGGCCTGTGATCCTGACACCAATTTGACTTTGACTCAATTGTCAATTCAACCACACTCAGTAGCCAGATAACAGAAGATGCTGAGGCTGACACAAATGGCCCCCGATTGTCAAATTGCAGCAAAAGTAGAAAGCCAGACTTCTCATTTACAGTCTTGTACCCTTTTTTCTCTACTTTTCTTCTTTTTCTATAAGCCAACAAAATGTACAAAGGGCCTTCTGAATATTTTTTACTTGGCAGCCTGAACTACTTAGCTCTATCCTACCCAGCTTCTTCTGAAATCACAAAGCCTCACAAAGGATATATTTGAGGAGGGGGGGTGTTAAACTGTGCTGTCAACATACAGTTCACATACAATTGGGATGAATGTGCCAGAGTATAGCCAGCAAGACCCTCAGGCCCATTGTGCCTGCAGCTTGTCTATTCAGAGGCAAATCTGCAATTGCAGTCAGAAAACTATAAACCATTTGGTCGTATAAATCTTTCTGCCAGTAGATCCAGCCTCTCTCCAAGATCAGGAAACTGATGGAGGAGGAGGAAGGAAGAGATGGCACGTGCAAGCATGCCCTGATATATACGCTTGAGGAAGTGGGGGCAGGGTTGGGTGGGTGGGGGGACAAGACAGTTTCTTTTTGTTTCTTGTCGTAACTTCATTCTGATCATCATTCTCTTGGAAATATATTTATCTAAGCTCTTTTCAGGCTGCTGATAATGATGAAATCATACCTAAATGAGAAGAACTCCCCAAAAGTCATATCTCAAGTGCAAAAGAAGTCATTGCAATACACTATTCAGGAGCATTTGTGAAGTTTTTTTTTTTTTTTTTTTTTTAGTAGAAAAACCCTGATAGTATAAGAAGAACTTAAGATGCTCACCTCACAACATGTAGCATTTATTCATATATTTTCCCCTCCTGTGGCACCCCCTTTATTTCTCCCAATGAGAAGATGGATATTTATGACCATATTTTGTGCATAAGTTCTCCTGAGAGTCTCTTCTTGCAGGACCCTGAAAGCAGCTACTCATCAGGAAAGGTGAAGCGGAATGTGCACGTTCTTTCACCTCCCTGGCTTTGGCTTCCTCACTGCAGCTCACCTTCAAGGTCCACTGGTGATCCTCTTTGCTGCAGTGACTGCCCCCAGCCCTCTCTCTCCAACTGTTCAGACTCAGGCTTGCCTGCAACTTCAATCCTCTAGTTTGTATCTCTTGAGACTAGAACACTCTACCCAGTCTCATGTCCCAAGACTCAGCCCATACAGAACAGTTGCTTCAGACACCTTGAAGAGCAAGACACGCAGGAATTCCTCTGCAGGTGTTAGAGGACCCTGCCACTGTAGACTCATGCCCCCCCTGATTCCTGAGCCAACAGTCCGGATGGGAACTCATGCTCCTCTGTGAGGGACCAGGGGCCTATCAGAGCCATCCATCAATCACTAACACATCCCATGGCCTCCTTTGTGTATCCGGGAAGAGATCTCCAGTTAGGGCCTGTTATCCATTCAGAATGCTGAAGTCAGGTGGCAGAGAAGATGCTGTAGCTCACAGGTGAAGACTGCCCAGGTTCATAAAGGGATACATTTGGGCCCATGTTCTCCCAGAAATAGGCTTCATAAATTCATACCCATTAGTTCATACTGATATCCTCAAATCAAATCCACTAACACAAGTTCTTCCTCACCTTCCCTACTGCCTATTTTTCCTTTTTCCTGCAGTAAAAACCCTCATTTCCAACAACAGTATTGTTTAGTCATTTACTCTCTCACACAATACACACAAAATCA